CTCTTGCCCTCTGATCTCTGGTAGGGTTCCAAACTAACCCCTCAGCTGAAACCTGGAGAGGGGATATGTCAGGTTCTCAGGGGGGTTGCTACTGGATTTGCATTGTGGTCAGCTCTCAGCAGGTTGAGCTGTAAATTGGCTACAAATTGGCCAGCAAGTTAGGTGCTAGGTACAGAATGAATGCAACACTAGTTATTCATATTGTGTGATTGCCACAGTACTGGAGATAGTCACTGAACCAGGTGGTATGTCCCAATTAATATTTATGGTCAAAAAGCTTTAAAAATCACAGATAATAAGCATTATGTCCTACAGAGCTGGTAAGACAAGAGGAATAATGTAGTATGAGGATATAGCTGTTGAAGGACTAAACTGGCAGCAGGCAAAAGAGCAATGGAATTGAGCAACAAGAGGATTTGTGCTCCCAAACCTACTGAATGCTTCTGAAGGTCCCACACAGGTAATTCAGCAGGTTCAGCAAAGATTTGAGATGAAAAATCTGTCCAACTAGATTTAATATAATCTTCTTGATAAATCCTGTTACCCTGCATGCCGTGGCAGAGCAGTGTGGGGTGGGAGAAAGCAAGGGCTGACACAGCCAGCCTTGCTGGGTCACTTTGAGATCCAGCTACACATTTGGCCATAAACCCAACTCATGGCAGCCCCATCCTACAATGGAGTGATGGACTTCTTGTCATGTGTGACCTACTTTGAGAACTTGGGCGTTTTTTGGGTCCCAGGGAGGCAGGGAATATTGGGTGGCTCTGAAATCATGAAGATTTTAGTAGGTTGCTCACAGGCCTCAGAGGCCTGGCCATGGTGCAACATGAGAAAAAGGGGATAATGATGAGATTCGGAGTTATTCAAGATAGCCTAGGAAAACACGTCTTGTTCATCAAGGTGTAAAGCAAACTCTGGCTGCAAGGAACAAGGAAGAATTTCCTTTGTGGCTGGTTTGCCCTCTTACTGCAGCTTTGGTACAAGCCACTATTAGTTACTGTGTTGGCGTAGGTGGATCAGCGTTCAGGAGTGAAGTCCAGTTTGTCTTAGAAAATTATACTGCATTAGGAGAAGTTTTGTAAAAAGGACAGAGGATGTGAAATGAAACTGAAGAAATACCAGGTGGCAGCCATCGAAAGTTAACTTCAATAAAATCTTGTTTGGACAAATGCTAAAATAAAAGCTGTCAGGAAAATGCTGCTCACTTGGGAAGAGCAGGACTTGGCACTTGGTGAAGAGCACTTACAGACTCTGCCTGCAGCAGCAACTGTCACCATCGAGCAGTTGCCAGACAAGGGCCAGGGAAACAAGTGGGATGCAATTAATCAGCGTGGAATTTAAGGGATCTGGTCATGACAGCTTTTGAATGGCTGTAATCAAAGCAAAATGCTTAAAATGAATGTTGATGTTTCTCCCAGGCAGGACTGGGTCCCACCTAGTTACTGGACAAAGTTCTAGTTGCTTTTGCTTCCAGAGTTGTGACTCAAGCTGAAAAGAAAGGCATAAGCAGGCTGGTGAGAATGTTTACTGCTTGATATGGGTGTGAAAGGCTCTACCAGAAGATGAACAGTAGAAAAATGAGACAGAACCTTAAACTTTGACAGTTATTATCTGAAAACATCTTGCTACATCTTTTCCTCTGACATAAACTCTGTATGAATATAAAGATTCCTGTTAGTAATTCAGGTTACCAAAATCATTGTTGAAGGAAAGAGGAGATTTGGGACAGATTCACATCTGTCAAACAATTAATCAGCAGTGAAAGATAGGGGACACAGTGCAGAGGTTTGGCTAGCATGCCTCTCCTGATAAAATACAGCAGATTATGAAAGTTAAACATACCAGGGTAAGTTTACAGGTATTAGAGGCCCTACAAGGATCACTGGAAACAAAAACGACTTTCCAGTTGTTTTTTTATCTATTGGTGATGTAGTGCTAGGACAACTCTTAAGGAAGGGAAAGCTGGTGACAGAATGTAACAGCAGAAGTGGCCACTTTCTCGTTCAGACAGGAAACTGTGGATCAGAATGGAAGTTACACAAATCCAGTAGTTTTGGTATCATTCTAAATCCTATGCTTCCTGTTCTCTCTGCAAAAATAACTAACATCCTTTTTGGATTGAATTTTCTGAAAACAAAGTCTGTTGCCTATAGTTCAGTTGCATCTGGAGTTCTTAGATTCTTTTCATAAAAAGCACTGTGTGTAATTGTGTTTTTTTCAGATGTCACTGGAAATCTTTGTCTTTGCTGCAGCGTGTGGTGTTCCTGGCTGGACTGTATAGAATGTCTAGGAAGTGGTCCAGGGTGAGAAGAAAAGGGGAAAGCTGAATGTGTTAGGAGTACAAAAGACACAATCACACGAGCTGCTCAGGCTGTAGCAAAGATACAAGAGAATGGGCGAGAGAAGTAAGGATACCTATATCTGCTGCAGAAATGCAGCTGGAAAGTGTAGCAAAACCACTTGCAATCTCCAAGCTGAGACAGTACAGGTAGCTTGGAAGCAGAGTTGCCAGAGGGAGATAAAGGATTCAGGAATGTCATACTGACTTAACCCTCCCTGCAAGAGACTGAACTTTTATCCTTTTCAGTTCCAAGCTTTGAGTCAACCTGCTTTCACTTTACTCTTTATCAATGTAGAAGAAGCTTGAGGTGTACCTCAGCCCAGCTCAAGGCTCTCTTCTTTTTGCAAAGCACTCTGTAAAGAAGTCCCGTCCCAAAGATCTCAAAAGTTCTCAGAGGCAGAGCAGCCAAGGATAGCACATGCCATTGCGTGCCACAAAGCTGGCAGTGCTGCTTAACCACATGCTTCTGCTTACACAATCAGCAGCAAAGCAGTGAACATTGTGACAGAAATGATAAGCAAATGTTATCATTAAGAATAAAATAAAATGAATTTTTGTCTTTGGGCAAATGCTTCCAATAACCAAGGGGTGGTGGACCAGGCTGCAGAGTTAAAAGAAACAAACCACTTTGTTCTTGATTTCTGACTGTATGCCTCCTAAAATGCAGTGGCAACAGCTGGAAATCTGCAAAGTGACAGGATAAATCACATATCTACATATATACAGTAGCTTGTCACACTTGATATATTCTCTCCCGTAGAATTCTGTTTGCTCCAAGTGCCTAATTCCAGATAGCTGCCAGTAGCAGCAAGATAGAAGACCAGCTCCATGCATGACCATGAACAACCTTCCTTTCTTCCTCATTAATGTATGCTTAAAATCACCTTAAAATAATAAAATGTGCAGGTTTAATTTTGAAATTATTCTGCTTCAGTGCCACTGCATAATGATACAAAGTTTCACCTTACAACAGCCAAGGCTGGGAAGAGGGACTTGTGTTCTTTGGGAGGAAATGCCCCCAGATTTCATACTTACATGTTTGTTTCTTTATCTGAAAGATTTCAGCACACAAGAAGCTTGAGAACAATTACTTTTTTCTTTCCTTTGGAAACAGAAGATCTGGAGACTTGGCTAAATCAGACAGCCTTTAGGGGCTAAAAGCCTACAAAAAGACAACTTGCATGATTTTTGTAAAGTATTTCTACATAGTTTTCTCCTGTAATGCATTTGATGTTTACAGGATACATTTGATGTACTGGATCTTGCTGACAGGAGGAACTGCATAACTCACTAGTGACTTTGCCATTTCCCAACACTGCAGTGATCCTGAGCCATTCCTGGCAGACTCCCGTGCCACGTTATAACACTGCACTGCCTCAGACTGACCTCGAGACAATCTTGAGACAACATTCAACCTGAAGCAGGATGTGGTTGAGCAGGCACCAGCAAGGATGTCATTTGGAGAATGATCCCTTCTGAGTCCTGGATTTCTGATTTCTGATGAGACTTGCTTGAGAAGTTCCCTAGCTTGTGACAAATCACAAAGGTGTCTGAGAAGTATAATTCGAGATCACTAGTAGTTTCACTGTACATTTCTGTAGGACCAAGCATAGGTGCTGTATCAGAAAGGACACCTACAAGAGAGGCTCGGTGAAGTGCAGATCCTTTCTGTAGGCCAGCTTTTTGGGGGGAGAGATGTTTAGGAAAGGTCTGTGGCAAATGCTATCTAGAGGCTGGATTGTTTCTTGGCTTCGTAAACTGTGACTTTGTAACTGAATGCTGTTTTCTGAATGCTCCTTCCAGGAACATGTCTGTTTCCCTCCTTTTTTGTTGTTATCTTATATTTTTCTTTTTTCAACAGATCGACAAGACATTTTACAATTCCATTTTAAGGAAAAAATACATCCGTTCACGCTTAATCAGAGTGAGGTATGTGAGATTATAATAAATGCACGCAGCTGAGATAAAATCAAATGTACACTGAGCCCAGTTAGAGCCATTTGATCTGACTCAGTAAAGTGTATTTTATATAAGACCAGAGCATAACCCCAACTGAGCATAATTTTTATTCTGAACCATGCCCTCCTTTGGATCTTATGAGGAAGATAAACTTCAGTTAGTCCAAATTCTGTTCAAGTTTGTGTTCCAATCTTGAGCAAGCTTTAGCTAACAAAGCACATATAACATGAGCAATCTAAAAATAAAAATCATTTGCAAAACTATTTCCTTCACTGTAATGCAGATGTCATTTTACTTCTAGTATCGCTACTGTGCTGGGCTTGTCAAGTAAAAACCAAGCCTGGCTGTGCTGGTTCAGAAGGTCCCACTTGGCACTGTTGCATCTCAAAGAACTGGCATAAGTAAGTGCCTAGGGAACAGCAGCAGCACCACAGACATTTATTATAACTGCTTCTTGGTATGCTCCCTACCTCCAGCTATCTACCACTTGGGAATTCCTGAAGGGGTTTGTTTAGCAGTCCCCTGTGGAGTTACTTTCCAAGGACTCGTCCACTATCCCCTGGACTCTTGAAATTCATGCACCTCAACACCTTTAGTAAGGAGTTACTTGTGAGGAGCCACCTTCTTTCGATCATTCAATGGCCCCTAGTTCTTGTGCTGGAAGGTAATGAATAGTTGATTTCTACCCCTCCTCTCCATGCAATTAGTGGTATCGGACACTCCCATCCTATCCCTTTTCTCTCCTGTACCCCAAGAGCTCTACTCTTCTTTTCAGCTGAAAGTCTCAGCCTGCTCAGCCATTCTCTGCTGGAACTGTTACTTGTCATCTTGTCACTATGCTCCATATCTCTTCCAGGTCTGCTGTCCCTGCTTTTTGAGAGGAAGGGATCAGACCTGGGGTTGAGCAATGTTGTTTCTTTTTTTTTTTTCTTTTATTCTCTGTTCCTTTGCCAATAATACCTATTGCTTGATTTGGTTCTTTGACCACTTGAGTGCTGAAAAATTACCTTCTTATAGAGCTGTCTTTTGTGATACTAAGGTCTTGTTTCTGAGTGACAGTGCCTATTATTTTGCAAGTAAGCCTTGAATTTCTTAATAATCAGCTAAGGCTGCAAGACTAATGATAGCAGCCTCAAGATCTTGTTTTTGTGAATGTATTTCCCCATCTTCTTTTATGGTTTGTGACATTCTGTCTGCTGCCCTACCTACGTTTAACCTCAGTGACACACAAGTTATTATTTGAATGTAGCTTTAGGAACATTTTTCAATAGTGAATTGTGTTAAAAGTGTAGATAAGGCTATTTAAAGATCTGAAAGGCCTATCTGTAAGGAAAAGTAATATTTTTCATTATTTCTTGTTCCCAAGGACAGACTGAGGTATTTGCTGTGTTGGATGGAGGGAAGACATGTATGCGCTAAAGCTTGTTTGCTTTTTCAAATGTATAAGCTTTGTGCCTCAAGCTGCAAGCTCTTTGAAGCAGGAGCATTGTTGTGAATTTGCTTTGGATATTTTTTGGGGGCTCAATATAAAGTATGCATTAGTAATGATGCCCACTGCTCACTGAGAAAGATAAAACAAATCTTGACTAGGCGTCTTTGCCTCTGGACCTTTGCTATATAGTAAGTGATTCAAGGCAGGCTGTACTTACCTGAAGGTTTCGAGAGGTGTGGTGTGCTTGCAAGAGCTGATACGGTAATTCCAGTGTGGCACAGGAAGAGGAGTGGGGGGAGAGGTGAGGGAACACCTCAGGAACACAGAGCAACACCCACAGTTGAATCAGATAATATCTAGAAAATAAATGGAGTGGCAATCATGCTGAAATTGGCACAAAAGAAAAAAACCCAGCCTGTTTGAATGTTCATATAAAGCTACTCAGTATCAATTATGCGATCCTTGAGGCAAGGATGGTGTCTTTCTGCTCAGCTATGAAACATCCAGCATGCCATGGTGTGCTCATAACACATGGCCTTTTATTTGCCCTTCACTGGCAGCAGCAGGAATGTCTCTTTCATTTTGTTTCGTGTTCCTTTTGAAGATCATGGCCTGATTGCATGACTTCTGTATGAACTACTTGCCTTATAACTGGGTGACCTTCTCTTTTCCTCTCCCATCTGAATGAAACGTAAGACAGAGCAATTTGCTTTTAGCTTGCCCCTGTATGAAGTAACTGTGATTCCATGCGTTGCGGGCTGTGCCATTGCTTCTTGGCTCAGGTGGGAGGAGGTACAGGAAAGAAGGTTCTTGGTACATGCTCTTATCTTCCTTGTGTACTGATGAAGGATAAACCATCTGCAAGCTACAGAGCAAGATTTACTATGCCAGATTAGACGCGTTGGTGTTTGTAGTCCAGCATTCAGTCTCTTGCAGCATATGATGGAAAAATAAAAATATAAAGGAAAAATAAATACTGCTACTGTGCAAACTGAGTCTGTTAGAAGATTTTTCCTCCTTTTCTTTCCTCTGATATTATATCAAAAATGTAGAATTGTGTGTCCCAGTGTGGGTGCCACTTGGGCTTCTCAGTGAGATGTTAAAGGCCCATTTTGTGGTCCATCTCTTGGGCTATGATAAGTAGACTGTGGATATATTACTGCTGAGTTTCACTGATTGTTACATAACGTGAGATTATTGGTCACATTCTGCCAAGAGGTTGCAGTAGCAGAATTGGGTTGTATGGTCTCTCCTCTTTACTCAAGTACCTTTTTGATGATGACTACAAATATTTATTCTGTGAATGTACATGGCCCTGGAAAGGTCAGTGTAGATATCATTAACTATCTACCTGATGTTCCTGAAGTGCTGTGTTTGAGTTTTTAATTTGATTTTTCATCAAATCAGGTTATCACTTCCTGCTCTTGTGTCCCAAGCATGTAGTCAGTGACTGCTTTTTAGACTCCATTGTAGTATTTGCCTGGCTGTTTTTTCACAGAAAGCATCATACTGCCTTCTAGCCTAAGATGCATTTGACCATTCAGCATTCGCTTGAATTTCTTTTGGCAAATCCGTCTCTAAAAAATGTACAAAATGTTAAAAGATATATATATATAGTCCTTTATGTTACACTTAAAAACATTAAGGAATGCAGAAATGGGCTGAAGGTAACCAGACTGTTTCATTGGTTTGTAGCCCAGATGCTGACGGTGTGATGGCAGAGGCTTTGCTCACATTCTGGTTCTCCTCCACGGATTCTAGAGAAGCATTGCGAGAAAGAGTTGAAAGGATCTTACGGAGGGGCCTGAAAAAATACAGAGGGCCCCTGAGAATAAATGTCAGATCTTCTACCATCTCAAGTAAGTATATTACATCTCTGCTAAAAGTAGTTCTTGCTCTTTTCTGGCTGATAGGACTTGATTATTCACTTCTGATGATGGCTGATACCAAGTCTGAGTGACAGTCTTTCCTGCTCATTAAGTTAGAACAAAATTAGTGGCAATATATAAACCCTACCTAAGTCCTTTAAATATGTCTTAAATACGGATAAAGAGCAGCAGTTGCTTTGTGGCCTCACAGTACAGCCTCATAGTACAGCCTCCCTCTAAACTTCAGCACTAGCCATATGCTACTATCAGGGTAAAGAGTAGGGGCCTCACCACAGTGCTTCAGTACACAGCTATGCAAACACACTCCCTAGGTCTCTGCTTCTCTGAGGAGCCTGAAAGTGAAGAAAATATGCTTGGATGACAGTGGGGAAACAGCCAATGCACTGAAAAAATAATATTTAGTGGGAGGATCAAAATCCTTGCAAATTCCCCAGGAGAAAGTGAAAGAAGCGGAAAATGTTCTTACCTATGGGACTTCTCAGCTTGGGATCTGGCCCCATCTTTGCAAAGCAGACCTGTATCCGCAGGACATGAAAATTAGCAGCACTATCTTTTTGATTTAGTGAATCACCAAACAAACACTGAAAGGTGGGTTTCCCTCTTCTTCTACCCTCCTGTTTGTTAGAGAATTTTTGTGCAGGGTTAGGCTTTTGTCTCTGACTCGGGTGTCAGACTTTTCAAGAATGAGTTCCTAGTTGAAAGGAAGAGGCAGATACTTGCTCCATTTGTTTTTGCAGGCCTTCTGCTTGCTACTAGCACAGGGTGATCATACAGCACATGGGTGGGTACTTGCTCCTCTGCACTAGAGTACTCAAACCAGCAGAGATCTGCAGATGCCAGATGGCTGTGTTGAAAGATCAAGAAGCCTGGGCCAGATGACATGCTGGATGGGTACAGACTTCCTCCCACTCAGGAATGACTGGGAGCAACTTCTTGTTCTGCCTCTCGGTGCATGAACTGGGCACATTGCACTGTGGCAATGCAGTGATACTCAAATATGAGCAGTCACACCCCCATTGTATCCTGATGGGCCAACCAGTCTTCCCCATTGGAATGGCTCAGGATGATGGGTGACATCCCTTTGGGCAAAGAACCACCATCTTCTGCAGTGTTTATATGCCAGTAGTTCCTGTTCAGCAAAGTGCACATGTAATTCCTCCCAGGTAGAAATGGTGTGTGGGCATCAACTAGAGAGATGCAAAGAGGGTTTTTTTTGGGGGGGGTTGAGGTTATATTGTGTTGTTTGATGTTTTTGTTTTTTTTGTTGTTTGTTTGTGTTTTTTTTTTAAGACAGCCAGGTCATGATTTAGTGAATTTTGGAGCTTCAGTATAATCTGATGCCTTACATAAAGGATAAAATTGGAAGGAGTATAAAAAATGCTTGTCAGAAAAGGGCTGTGATCTTCTCATCGAGTTATCTGATTAGCTGCTTTTATTCAGCCCAGTAAATGTGGGAAGTGACTCAAAATTCTGTTTTAGTTGACCTTGAGCTGCACCAGCCTGTTGCACTAAGGCACTAGTTGCTAGTTAAAAAAATTAGCTGATATAATTGAATCACAATGTTTTCATTAACTATTTGGTCTCAGTAAAAGATAGCATCTCTGTGTTGCTTTGATAAAGTTGTGTGATAAACTTTGTGTTGCTTTTCTTGGCTCTCCCAGCTTAACCATAAAACACTGACTACATAGGTCTGCTACTCACTTACAGGATGGGCATTGTGCAACTGCTACACGTGACACAGAGGAACATAAACAATACATTGCCATTTCTAGGAGATGACAATAAAAGGCTCCATTTGGAGCTTTCTTTGCTAATAGGATTTCAGCAATGCTATGAGGGTTAGGCAAGCTCCTGCTGGTGCTGCCATTTAAGAAACGCAGGTTGACACAAGGGAAGAGTAGAGAGCAGAGCACTCGTGCTTTTAGAGGTGATGCAGGTCACAATTTATAAAGCTCATCTTCTTCTCACCTGGGAGAAGTGACAATTTTCAACAGACCCTAGAAGTCTGGAGAAGGCTCTAGGTTCTGCATTTCCCACTTCTCTCTCCCCTTCTGAAATACCCTGTGTACCATTACTATTTAAACCAAGGAAAGCTAATAAGCCCTAGATTGGTTCTGTGCTCTGCAGCACCCTTCTGAATCTTTCTTCATTGTAGCTTTCATGGTTTTGCCATCTGGAATCTTTGTTTATCTCGAAGCAAACTCAAACATTTTCATAATGGCTTGTAAAAAATCATTAACTTGTTCATTGTAATTACCTTATCAAAAGATTCTAATTTGGGGGCCATGATAAAGCTTATTTAGCTAAGCATAGCTAACTAGTTGAACAAATCCAGTCAGGCACTTATTTACATTGCATAGTAGGATGGTCTGATAAGGAGAACCTCTTCAAGTCTTCTTCCCTGGATCTAATCTTCTTGTTGTTCAACACCATGTCTCAACTTGCACTTCACTCAAAAGTATTTGCTTTGAGGATCAGCTCCCACAGACTCCTGCAAATTGAATGCAACACACAGGATCTTCAGCTGCAGTTCAAGGCAGCGGTACAAAACCAAGTAGTCTGCCAGACCAGGGTTAGAACTTGCTTTGCCTCTTCATTCCTGGGGACTGAGGATAAAAGCTAAACTGGCAATGTTTTATTAGTTCAGTTTGATTCAAAAAAAGAGAGAAGCCTGATCATACAGATGTGAAAAAAAATAGCAAGTGTGCAAAAATAAAGGAAAACAAAACAATACTATCTCTGTTTTGCATCATCACTAAACAGTAGGTGTTCCTTACATAGGAATACATTTGTATTTGTGTACCTTTAAGTGTGTTATTACTGAAGTCCTTGCTTTCTTATTTAGCTAGACTTCATAGTCCCCTGGTCAAGGACAGTGCTATCTCCAGACATCCACTACTGCTTTGATAGAAAATAGGAAGTGATAGAGATCTCTGTGCTTATGTACAAGCCCTGTTAGAAGCCCAAACATTTTTCTACAGACAATCAAGCAAACTAAGTCCTATCTTCACTGAACAGCATTGCAAGTGCCAGCAAAATGAGATGTCAAAGTTGAGTGACTTGGAAACACCCACGTTAGAACTTGCTCTTCCACTGACACTGAAAGAAGAAGGTGTTGCAGTTTATTCTCTGTATAGTTCTGGCACAAGAGATCTCCTTGAAGGCTGACTTTTTTTTTCCTCAGGGTTTCTTGATTAGAAGTAGAGTCATGCCTATTAAACAAAGTGTAGAGCAGCTTGCCAGACTATTTCCCTTTGCCAGATAGGCTGGAAGTCTCCCAAAATATATTTTGGGGAATGTACTTCTCACGTCAGAAAGAAACTAGTTGCAAGATCACTGGCACTGTTCAAAGTGAGTAGGAAGTATTCCCACCTGTTGCACAGCCGAGGGTTTTGACCGTGAACAATGAGTCATGAATTGGTTTTGATCAACAAGTCAGCTGCTGCTGTTTCTATTTATCTGGCATCTGGGGCTTGCTAAAGCTCTTTACAAAGATGTAGGACCTCGGAGATAGATTCTAACTTCTTTATCCAGTCTTCTATGGGAGACAAGCAGATGAGTATCTGACCTGGATAAATGAGGAATGTTAAATCAGAAATATATGTAGCAGTCTGGGGTTTTTTTTTGTACTTTGCCAGCCACAACAGCAGCTTAGGAGAGTGGAACAGGTCAGGCATCGGTACATTGGGAAATAACAGTGAAGATCTGAAATTCCTCCACTTTGATGCCATTGGTTTGGCACAAGGTGGTACATTTCAGGATTTGCAGCAGTCTAGAGAGGCTGACTGAAATGGGAGGGACTGAAATGTGTTTTTAAATTAACATTTTGCAAGGACATGCTTGTGATGAAGGAATTAAGCAGGAAATCATACTGGCCTAACTTTTTAGATGACCCAGATAAGTTCACTTAATTAATTTTCTCAGTCAGTCCTTGTTTTTCTCTGCCTTGCCTGAAGAGGTTGCAAGTGACTTGGGATGTGGGATGCCCCTATTGTAATGAGACCTTGATTGCAGCTGGGGCATGACTGCAGGTCAGGAAGAAAAATAATGTTAAAAGCTCTTTCAGCTTGGACACATGCTACAGAACTGGTACATAGTGCCTCATGCATATCTCTCCTTGGGCTGCAGTATGTCCAGATGGACTTGTAAGTATGCTCTGAGGTGTGGACATCTGTCTGTCCTCATGGACAGAAATAAGATGTGGTTGATGGAGGGAGAAGTCATGGGTGTCCAGTGGACATAAGGAAGGAAGGAAGGGCTAGGTGACAGACAATGAGAGGTACAAAGCCTTTGTCTTGTCCCTACTAGCTTACTCTCCCCTCTTGAAAGAATAAGAATTGCATCACCTCTATCTAAGCCATGTTTTGCCACTTCTACAGGGGTGCTTAACTCCAGGGAGGCAATTCCTGTTGAGAGAGCAGTGGGAATATTGGAAGGTTTCACAGGGAGACATTTTAGGGTCTGTGCCCCATGTAACCACACAAGAACTTGACTTCCCTGCTGAGTCCAAGGCTCATGTTTTGCTATCTTTCAGGAAACTCCTGCGTTTCCTTTTGGGTACAGTTTTTGGAACATGACTGAATCTGCTGCTCACTAGTCTCATTCTCATTTCACCCTAGTACCTCAGGCCTTCATAGCCTTTGATGTAATTAAAGAGTATTAGATCAGAGCTATTATCCCCACCTCTGTCTTCACTCCAGAGCAGATGCACTCTGTGATATTCGTCTCAGCTGCCCAGGTTCGTGATCTACTGAAACTTGCCAGAGATCCCTTTTTCACCCACGTGCGCTGTTGTCACCCTAAATAACACTGAACTAAGTGATCCCCCTGTTTCTGATGCAGCTGAGAATTTTCTAATTCTTTCCCTTTCCAAGGATGTTGTTATTAGAATGTGACAGAGGACAGTGGGGAAGATGCTTCCTCTGCTCCCTGGTGCATTTCACAAAGCTCTGCTACAGATGCATGTCCAAGAATGTGTTATTAGTATTGAAGCATGCATTTTTTCTTTATATTTGTTGATGTTTACAATCCTCTCCTCCCTTCATACCTCCTTTAAGATAATCTCTACCTTCTCTGTGCAAAAAAAAAACCTTACACAAGCAAGGTGTAGGAACTTGATATAACAGAGGATGGAACATGCACTTTGCCTTGGAAGCTAACAGTTATATTATGACATATAGAAAATCACAGGTGGAAAACTTAAAGTCGAGTTTCTTGTGAGAATCAACATCTGTGAAAATTTAATGTAATTGGGTAAAGCTGCATCAGATTTTAAAAATGGATTTCTCATCTTTAATTGTGAAGTCATCTCTAGCCCTTTCTACACTGAAAATGCATAATATCCCTTAATAATGCCTTTGCTTGCCTTGCTTGAACTACTTCAATGTAACGTCTGGTCCATTGTCACTGAGAGTTCTGCCTGTTACTTCCCTTTTGATATAAACACTGATCTCTGTGGCTAAAATGAAAGGAGGCACTTGACACAAGATTAATTCTTCTGATGCAGTGACACTGATATTATTCAGAGATGGGGCAAAGCAAGGACATTTTTCTGTAGGAATCTCTGAATCCCTCAGAGATAAGTGGTCATATTCACTCTACAGTTAAATATGAACTTGCAGATGTTTAGATGGTGCCAAACAGATCCAAAGACTTTGGGCACCAAACTCCCTGGCTATTGCATATAAACAATTACTAAAATAAAGATGCTTTCATGATCCTTCTTACTGTCTTTTTCGTTCTGTTTGCCTAAACACGTATGTTGAGGAGTAACAAGAAGTCATTTACCGATAAGTTACTACTCTTAAATAGTGACTGCAAATCCCTATCTCATTAGTCTGAAGTTAAGACCAATAATATAAGAATATTTTAAGATTATTCCCTTTACTAAATATGCTAAACAACTGTATTAACAAAAGTGCTTGTCCAGTTGGAGAGCAGAGCCCTCTTCTGAAAGGCTGAATCCTTAAGCTACGTTTCAGTAGATTGCCGTGATTTTAATTTAAACATTAGTTTTCTCTTTTAAGTTAGGCAAGCTTTAATTAAATAGCAAATTCCATTTTACAGGTAGGGAATGCATGTTCAAGTTGAACTTGTTCTTGTTTACAGCAGAAGCCTGAACACTGTTTTCCTAAATGCAGCACAAACAACTATTTTTACAACTGTACGTTGCTGGGAAGAGATATGACACTTTAATTGTTACTAATTGATGCTTTTTCTTGGTAATGCAAACAACTAGGGCAACTAATAAATGTGCAGGGCAGCAAAATTGTCTCTCGTGCCTTACAAGCAATTGCTTCAAGGTAGGGCTTGCAACACGTTGGCTGGCACAACGTGAACAGCTGTGCTGTTGATCAGGCCAAAATGTCAAGCTAGTAACAAAAAAAGGCAAGCCCCTAATGAGGTGATCAACCCGATTTTCAGCAGTATCGTGTAAGCCAAAGGGCTCCCTGCAATTGATGAGGTCTACTGGGGGTTCAGCTTATCTGACACTAGTGTCAATTAGTTCAGGTTTCCAAACATGTACTTGTGCTCTGGGTTTTGAGCTCTGGGTATCATGCCCTTAATTTCACCTGTCCTGATTGGCACGATGGGTTCTCAGGTCTGTTGCCAGACAGACCTGTTGTCACCTCTTAAAAACCCCTTTACTTGAGTTTTTCTCCTGTTGCCATGGTGTTTTCTTTACTCCTTGTGTTCCAGCTCCCAGTGGCATCTAAAGCAAAGCAGTGCCCCTACCCTGCTGAATACAGCATTGAATTTATTGACAGCTGTCACTGGCCTTTTTCCTTAAGCAGTGGGTAGGTGGCTGGGAGAGTCCATCAGCTGCATAGTTGTGATCTGTTCTAATGTATGCTAAAACTCAAAGCTATTTATGACTCGCCGTATGTGCGTGGAAGAGTAATTTCTCCAATTACACACAACTCAGTTCAACTGGATGCAATAGCTAAAATTTTGCCCATGTGGGTTTTGTAATTTTTTGGGGTGCCTTGTAAAAGGGCAAACAGAGCTTTAGACAGGTGCCTTGCAGAACAGCTGTGTGACTCACAGCAAAACTCAGTGCAGTGAGAACATGCCAATTGAATTGCTTCCGGCGCTGCGCTTGAACAAGCTGGTTGCTCCTTTTGTCTCCTCCATGAGCTTTGCAATATAACCTAAGTGTTGATAATTGACTGAAGGCTTTATAATTAGGCATTATGAGGTAAACGTCTCTCCACCCAGAGAGGAGCTGAAAAAACATTATTACCAATATTACTCTTGAAGGCAAAAGGTGTTCTTTCATTGTTCATTATATTTATAGGTTTCTTACTGGATTCCAAGTATAAAATATTAGAGTGGCCCAAATGATGAGCTAGTCTGAAGGTTGTATGCATTTCTAGGAAACCTCTGGATGTTCATCATAGTTGAAATGAACAAATAGGGCTAGATTTTTCAACACACTTCTTGCCAATATAAACATATAGGTGAAGTAGCCAAAGCCTTACCACAGCTCAGCACCCAATTTTTTTTCCTCTCTTTGTAACTTACCAAACAGCAATGTTTTCACCAGCTTTTACTGTCTGCCACTATTACATTCTGATGTAAGGGATCTTGGCAACAACCAGCCAGATTATCCATGGAAATCCAGATTATACAACAGACATTTCTCAAATACAGAAGTACCTGTACTTCACAGTTTTCCTCCCTCTTTCATAGGAATTGAGAAAGTACAAGTGAGCATTTTTACTGAAAGGGGACCTCACGAGTTGTTGCTTGCTCACCAGTCAAATTGATTTATCTTTTTTTTGTGAACAGTTCCGGGTTTCAGTGAATTGGACTGTGTTGGTATATAAGTGTCCAATTATAACTCCTCTCCCATTCTTACAAACCAAAGCAGCAGCTGCGTGCACGTACGGCAGCCCTAGCGCTGCCTTTGCTCTGTGGCATTCCCCACCGTCAAGCTGTACGTGCACTGCACTTCTGCTTGTTTCATTTTCCTACCATAATCTGCTTAATGTCACGTTAAGAAATGAATGAGTACACGTCTAGTAATGGTGGATTGCAAACATGCAACTCACCCTGCATACCAAGAGGAGTGTCAAGCCCGCAAACAAAACACAAGATACAAGTACAACAGGCAACAAGCATGAGCCAGAGCCCTTTGCAGCCAAATGAGACTCCTCCTGGCATGGTGTGGTTTTGGATCAAAACTAGGATACTCTTCTGTGTTGCTGCAAAGTGAATAGAGAAATGAAGTAAATGGATAATGACAGGGATCTGCTGAGAAAGGCTCTACAGCCACGAAACATGAAGTTGTGGATGCTGTACAAGAATCACAATATAATTTAAATGATTTTTAAAAATTTGTTTTGACTGCTGGCAACTAAAATGTTAGCTCTAGAAAAATAGCATTCTGGAAGAAGGGGAATAGACTTACACCTTGAGTCAATCCTTGTTCTTGTCAGCATGAGCATACCATGTTGTCCATAAACACAAAACGTGCATATAAAAGGAGAGAATGTGTTGATAGGATGTTCTATGTCATGCAATAAATTGCTTTTAACTATCTCTTTTAGTATTAATAGTGTACTAGACACCTTGTTGCTCAATGAGATATGAGAAAGGAGAGTGAGCCACTGCTATTTTAAGCTGGCATTGCTGCAGTGAAGTCAGTGCTTTCTGATCTCAGGGCATGGAGTGAGTAACAGATCTCCTCTGGCCTTCACTCTGGTTTAAAATGTGTCCAGCCAAATTTTACAAAAAAGGAACTTCAAAACTTTCCACTGTAAAAATGTCTTCCCAACAAAATTGTGGATCTTGAGGAATGCAGGACTCATTTCGTCTGTACTCCTCTCCAGAAACATCAGGGTGCCATGCTGGGCCTGGTCCTCAGAGAACACTGGCTGGCTGGAGAGCAGCAAGCAGCACCACAGAGAGGACTGGAACAGCCAGTACAAGAACATGACCACATACGAGTTGCAGTGGTTTACTTAGCAGCCCCCCTCAGCCATACCTCCCGTGGTGCCCTATGCTCCAATACCTCTCAGATGGGATGACCGTGTAGATGGGAAACCTTGTCTGTGCTGTCCTGGCCTTACCCTGACTGTTTGTTTGTTTGTTTCAGATGTGGAGACGAAAAGAGCAGAAGCCCTCTTCAATGACAGTAAGTGAGGGCTTTTTAAGCCTGGCAAATCTCTGATTCTTTTAATTAGCATTAATAGTCTCTACACACTTCTCCTGGCCATTAAAAGCCTTTTCTCATCCTCCTGTGTAATGAATGTGACCTTCTACTTTACAGAGATGAGCCATGTGTTTAGAAATCCTGCTCAGTCATGAGGAAGCCTTTTTTGTTAGTGTCTCCTGGGTTACTTAAAAAGCCTGGTTTGAAAGTAGTGGTGATGGGCTAAAAATCCTTTCTAGAAAAAGCCTACACCCATTGCTGAGTTCCCTGGTCCTTCTGTTAAAAATATCAGTAATTCTGTAAGAAAAGAGCAAACAATGAGAAGAAAGCAAGTGCTGAGTGCTCTGTAGAAAATCCCAGCACTGGGCAGAGAGGAGACACTGGATAAATGCCTATGGCACTATGGCTTCTGCCTCCAGCAGTGCTGCTGTAGAAGGCGGAAGGTGCATCTTAAATGAAAACCATGCCTTTGAGGAAAGAGAGGGCTGAGCCAGGGAGGGCTGAGCATCGTACTCTTCAGGACACTTGTTAATCTGCTAGGCTCACTCAGTTGCTGTTGGTACCAGTGAGAGCTTTTCCACTGTGTCTACTCAATTATGTACTTGGACCCACAGAGACCAAGTCATGTTCCTACATGAAAACTGACACATTTCAGATGACTCCTAGGTGTGCGTAGTAAAATTGAGTGAGCGAAGAGGACTTCCAAGAAGTAAAGGAACTTAATTGCTTGGGCTAGCTGACTGCTTTAAAACAAGGCACAGCAGCTAGCTGAAAGGGACACTATAATGTTCCAAAGGCAGGGGAGTCACAGAATCAGAATGGTTTCGGTTGGAAGGGACCTTAAAGATCATCTAGTTCCAACCCCTCTGCCATGGGCAAGGACACCTCCCACTAGACCAGGTTGTGCAAGGCCTCATCCAACCTGGTCTTGAACACCTCCAGTGACAGAGCCTCCACAGCTTCCCTGGGCAATCTGTGCCAGTGTCCTTATCACGGATTTGAGCACATTTTCTATTTGAGCAGATTATCATTAGAAGCAATCTCTATTACAAATTGCTTAAAACATGTACTTAAATGGAGTGCTCCATCAAGTCTAACCCTGCCTGCATGCTGTCCTCTCTCTCCCTGATGTAAAGTATTGGAACTGCCTCTTGGAGCAGCATCTGGAGAATCTGTTTCATATATGCTCTTGTCTTGGATGCTGTAGCATCACCATTCATCTCCACCGTGTGACCTGTTATTTTCCTATACGCACATTAAGTGATGAGATTTATACCTGAACATCTACCAGCACGTTGTTCAATTGGTGCTTCAAAGATGGCACTCTAGCAGAGGCCTCTAGTACCACCTGCGAGTAAGAAGTGCCCCAAAAGCCAGTAGGACTGGGCACGTGTAGAAGAGTTAGGAATATGGGCTTTTTTTTTGCTCTCAGAAATCTGGAGTATGTCATTTCCTTTAGTGTGCATTGGAAGGAAGGACTGAAGGAAATCTGCAGAAGTTACATCAGCCTGTGATTATAATGACAATGTTCTGGATTTTAGAACGGCTACTAGAACAAAATTGTTCCTTATGGAAATATAAGGCAATATGATTGTCTTCTCAGAGGCATTGCTGTAGGGGTTGGGCTGAAGTAGTTTGGTTTTGAGATGTTTTTAAGCTTTCAAAGAAGGAAGTCAGCTTGTTTGGAGAATTAATAGTTATTAAAAGCCATCTTTGCTTACAAGTTGGATTTCTTTTAACTCTGTGAAGGTTTGATCAGTTCCTTAGCAGTGGGCTGTCAAGTAAAGGAAGATGAAATAACATCCCTTTTTGGGTCCATTTTAAGTACTGGTGTTCTGGGGCACTGGTGGAACTGTGAGCTTTGTCCTGTGTTTCAAACAGTGACTGCTCAGGTGGCCAATAGGATTGTGCAGTTTTAGGACCAGTAACTGAGGATCACCAATAGCTTTCAGAAGGGAAACATGCTCGTGCAGATAGTTTTAGCAGTTATGGTATATTCTCCAGTTTTCCTTTCACATGGAAGTTTTGGACAAGTAGATTTCAATTCCACTGATTTCCTTCATTGTGGTTTTAAATCTCAGAACAGGGCAGACTCTACAGCGAGCACATGAGCTTTGCAACATTGTATGACTTCATTTATTTCCCCAAAATTTATTAACAGCTGTTCATCTGCTGTGTTGTTGCTGCTGCTTTTGACTATGAGGTATTGTTAACATAACCTTGTGCAGATCCTAGCAGGAAGGGGCAGAGGTGTCACCAGTGTTTTCTTCTGAGGACTTCAAGGGCCCTGGAGTTGGCAGGTCTTCAGGATGTACTACTGATTTCTGCTTTGTTCCCCTCTGGGTCACTGTCTGCGGGAGACAGGCAGTGCAATGGTTTGGATTGTGTTGTCATCATGCAAATAATTCTTAGCTCTGTCTCTTTTTCAATGAATTGGGATTGTCCTATCTGTCAACTTTCCCAATATCTAGCTGAAATCGGGGCCTGGATGAAAACTAGTGGGTCTTGGTCCAGGTAAGATGGGTTTGATGATGTTTGGATGGGAGAAGACAGATGAAGCAGCTCTATCTGTTGAGGAAGTTTCTAAAGCTATGGGGAGCTTTAGCTCCTCCTGAATATCCTGAGTTTAGTGCCTGAAACCATGGATATTTTAATTTCTGTCTGGTTTTGGAGGATAATAATTTTTGTCATGGATGCACACCGTGCTGGGGGTATCCATGCCTTTGTCATCTGTGGCTTGGATTAGTGTGATGCTCTTTGCCTGAAGTGCCTCTCCAAGTCCACTTGCAGACTGCCATTTGTGCAATGTGCAGTTGCCTGTTTCCAGATGACATCTTGCTGGTGTAATCTGCATGCATGCATGGTAAAAACCCATGACTTTGATCATTCCCATCTTAGATTTTGCCTTGTTCATGTTTTATCCTAATGACAAATTACCTGGGACATCAAGGTTGACAATCCCTGTATTTGGGAATTGTCCTGGGTGCACGGTGAAGGTTTCGATTCCTGATGTGGGCCGCTCACGCCGTTAAGCCCGAATGGCTGACATCATGGCTTTCCAGAATAGTCAGTTGTTCATTCAGGCTTCTGGGTTGTGCATGAGGGTCTCTGATTGGGGGAGCTGGTGGAAGGCGTGTTTTCTTTTTGATGTTAATACTGTTAAAGAACCTAAGTGGTGTGTAACTTTACATATGTTTTCCACAGGCATTGGCAGGCATAATTTACTAAACCGAAGAGTAGCTAATAGCTCTTTCTCCTTGTTGACAGTCTGTGGGCTACGGCAGAACAGATCAGTCAAGTCGATGGCAAAATCGACGTCGCTGCGAATAGTCGGCGGACTGTCTTCTGCAGAGAGCGGGGACTGGCCCTGGCAGGCCAGCCTGCAGTACAACAACATCCACCGCTGCGGTGCCACCCTCATCAGCAACACCTGGCTTGTGTCTGCAGCTCACTGCTTCAGAGAGTAAGTTCCCATCTTAGAAAGAACCTGCAGCAGAATATGCCGCATGTGTATCAAGTTATGTGGCTTTCCAGATTTTCACCATATCCCTGACTTTCCAGGGGAGCAATTCCAGGTAATGTGACTGAAATGGCAGAGTATTTGTCTCCTGTTGTACTGAACGTTTCTGAAGCTGCTCCTTCATGTTACAACTAGGTTGCTGCTGCTGCAGGCTGCTGCCAGAAGTTATAATCCCACATCCCTACCCCTCCGTTCAGCCATGCACTCCCAGAGCTCTTTTGCTTCACGCACGGCAGCTGTGAAGCTGCAGGGCGTGTAAGACGGAAGAAATTAATAACATGCAAAAAGACTAATAAAGGTGAAGAATTTTCTGGCAGAAGAGCTTTTTGATTTGGCTACACTCTGTGGCAGCAAAATGGCTAGATCAGGGACAAGGAGCAGGGGAGGAGTGTGAGACCAGGGTTGAGGAGGGAATGCAGGATTGCCCTCTTCTAGCAGCAGCCCACAATGACGTGGGACTAAGTGTTATGGAAAGTGACGGATGCCTTAAGAATCTAGTAGGGAGCTGGCTTGAAGAGGCTTTACAATAAAGATGCTCACCAAGTTTAAAGCACCAAACGCTTATATTTACAGCTATATACTTACAGCACTCTTACCTTTTTCAGCATGAGTCACCCTCAGAAGTGGACTGCTACTTTTGGAGCACTTTTGAAGCCACCAAGCTTGAAACGATCAATCAAGACTATTATTATTCACGAAAGCTACCACTACCCAGAACATGATTATGACATTGCACTTGTGCAGCTCTCTAAACGAGTTGAGTTTACGACTAGCATACACCGTGTTTGCCTGCCTGAGCCTTCCCAAACTTTCCCGTACAACACTTACGCTGTCATCACAGGCTGGGGAGCACTTACCAATGACGGTGAGTCCTCAGCCTACCAGGCAACCTGTACGTTGCATGGACAGTGGCTCTGATCTGCTGCTTAATGGATACCACTTCTGCTGCCATATGTTGTATGGCAGCAAGCCCAATGCTTTGTCTATGGGCAATAGGTTTATTTAATCATAAGCAGCAGTTTCTTGTTCTAAATTTAGACTGGACAAAGACAGAACTATAATCCACAGAAGCAGAAAACGGGAATAAAACTGTTCTCTTTTTCCAGCTTTTCCATTTCCTACTGCAAACTCTTAAGACACATAGTCCAGCCGTGTATGTGTTTGTAGAGTACCTAAAAAAATATTTTCCCAGCTCCAGCCAGAAGCTACAGATAACTCTGTGGGCTTTCAGGTAAATATAGTAGATGTCTTCATTTTGTATCATCTGCCCAAATTGCCAAGTAATTTGTGCTGCATGGTATTATATGGAACATGTATGAAATACATGGGTTTTCACCATGTATCATGTAATCGTTATTTCTGTCTTAATGGTACAGTTCCTAAGTGAGACCATGCGTATACACATTTTCCTTAAGGACACAACCCAGACAGATCAACAAGCAAAACCTCCACATTAAACCAAGTTAAGCTGTTCCTCCATTAGAGAATATTAAATGCTCTTCATGTATCATAACTACTGCAAAGTAATTCTGTTGATAAATAGCCAACCTATATATTCCCTCAGGTCCAGCTCCAAATGCTCTTCAGGAAGCAACAGTGAAACTTATCGACTCGAAAACTTGCAACAGAGAAGAAGTGTATGGCGGGGACATAACACCCAGGATGCTGTGTGCAGGATACTTGGAGGGAGGAGTAGATGCTTGTCAGGTAATTGTAGCTGAAAATTAAAAAGAAGAACTATTTTAATGCAGAGTCCAGTATCTGTCTGACCAAATCTTAACTGATAGTGTATTAGTCCTTTAAACAGGCTGCACTCACACAGGAATTAAGTTGTAAAATGAAATGCCATTTAGTACATGTCATTTAGCACATAAAAAACATACTAAGAGAGCTAAATTAGGTCATATTCAGAATGTAAAACTTTCACTGCATGGTATGAAATTCTTATTCTGTAATATTCACAATAGCTGCTACAAGCCCATTTATATCTCTTAATTTCGTGTGAAATCTAATCATGTGCTTGCAAAGTGGTATGACAAGACATAGAGATACTAAATGCTGAAATACTAAATATGGGCTAAATATGAGCTAAATATTAAATACTAAAATATGAGCTAAAAATTAAATGTCTCAAATAGCCAAGACCTGGTTGCACTGCTGTCCTGGGCAGCCTGTTCCAGTGCCAAGAAGTTCCTAAAGAAATCTGTTTTGAAATGTTATTGGTGCAGATGACTAAAAGAATTTGTTAAAAAGCATAGTGGTTACTGGGAGAAAAAAAAAAAAAAGTTTCTGTTGGCCTAGTTCACTGTATACATTTGTGTTTCCCTGCTTTGTATGAGGAGGAAGACAAGGGAGGTGGGAAACAGTGTTTCACATAACAGAAGAGAAGCTTTTTTTTCTTTTACTGTAAAACCACAGACACAGGTCAGGAGGTTCTGTGGCAAACAGGAAAAAGCCACAGACTTCCACAACTCAAGTTTCAGAAACAGCCTGGATTCTGCACTTGGCAGCTCTTGAAATATTGCTTGCTTTCTTCTCTTATTTGACACACAATATTCCTCCTGTCTATGGAGAAGATGACATTTTCTTTTCTGATCAATTAAATCTTTTTTCCCATCCTCTTTCTCTAGGGGGACTCTGGGGGACCACTGGTTACTCCAGACTCTAGATTGATGTGGTACCTCGTGGGAATAGTGAGCTGGGGAGATGAATGTGCCAAACCAAATAAACCTGGAGTTTACACACGAGTGACTTACTTCCGTGACTGGATTACCACAAAAACTGGCATCTAATTCCAAAATCAAAACTGGATTTAACTACATAGACTATGTGTAACTCGTACTTGTCTGTAATTCTGAAAGTTTATTTTTTTAGCATGTATATTCCTACATAGTTTTGGCTGAAGCAACCTTTGCCCACAGCAAGCACTACCTTTGCTGTCAGAGATCCTAACCCCTTGTGAATTTGTACTAAACATGAGATTGCCTGCCTTCTCTTTGAGCCTTGAAACATTCTCATCAGAAATTATGAACTGACATCATTAAACTAACATTTAAAAGCTACCAATTTACCTACTTCATAAATAGATACATTTTCCAGGAAAAAAAAAAAAATCCCGAAACAGTTTTCTTCAGCCATGGATGAGGTCTGAAGCTGAACCTTCTTCCTCCAGTAAAGCAAATGCTGTCACAGATGTCTTCTAGCAAAGTGAAGATTGACTATTATCCATGTTAGAGACTGTCATCTGCACAGACTGCTGCCGAGACCCTGGGTGCTCACCCTGCTTGGTGACTTTCACAGCAAACAGTGGAGCAGCCAGGACTGAGGGTAAGCCCAAGCTAAGGAAAAGGAGGATTTCTGTGCTTGCAGTAAGTTGGAAGGGAAAAGAGAAAAGCTTGATGTTCTTCTTTCAAAGCACATTTTAAAGAGGAATTTTTTGTGGATTCTGTGAAGTTCAAGTTACCTGAAAGTGCTGTTGTGGAAGTGCTTTATCATAGTACTATGCTGCTACCTCTGTAACCAGTTGCCTTCTAGATCTAGTCTGTTCAACTCACAATATGCTTAAGATACAGAAACACAAGCTCTACCTAAATCTGTTTGTTAGAAATGCGTTCTCATGAACAACCTCCCTGGAAGGAAACCCAGCATTTAAATTTGTGCTGAAGGAAGAATAAATATTCACTGCAAATACCCTGGGGACTACCTTCTTCGTTCAAGAAACAGCATACTTTTCCAAGGCTGTGCCAGCCCGTGGAAACCATCTCACGGCAAAGAAAGCAATTAGTGATACTGTCTTGCTTCACTGATGGATTTGTCTCTGCCATGAATAAATATGATCCTGTCTTATGAGGCTGAAGAGAAATTTCGTCTTAAAGAGCAGTCCTGATAAGAACTTCAGAGTAAATTCAATCCTTATACACTGATAAAGGGCTTTTCCTACCCCTGTACATGACATCTCATGGATTGCTGATGTGACTACTACTAAAGCCCAAGCCTTCATTATGGGGATCCAAAATGTCACTCCAGTACTGTCTGCTGCAGTGCTTGAATGGCCACCAGACTGCTTAGTCCTGTGAGTGGACTCACAGAGTGTGTGTGAGGCATGAAAAGGAGCTGCAAGGCCCATGGCTGAACCTACTACAGCTGAACATTTCTCTAAAGCATCCTGCCTTCCCTTCTGCTCAGGACTGGGATTCTCCTGAGCCTTCCCGCTGCACAGGCTCTCCAGTAATCAGCATCCCTGGGAATGAGATGCTCAGAGTTTCTGGGAAGCTCACAACTTGAATTACAAGTCCACATATGGATGGAAAAGCCTATGTTTAAGCCTTGGTGGTGGTGGAGGAGGAGGTTGTCTCACTATTAGGCTCCTTCTAGTCTTTCTACATATCTTTTCAACTTCAGTAAAGGACAAGGTGCCTTACCTCAGACAGAAATCTGTTGAAGGTTTTAGATTAATTTTGGTTTTGAAACAGTAGTATCTTTATTCTGATTTTCCATGTCTATTACAAAATGAAAAGGATCTTGGGAAAGTTAGGAGGATAGTTAGATGCAGCAAATCCATTCCCTTAATTTATTGATGAAGTTTGTAATTTATGCACTTTTGAGTTGCTGCTATTTTTCAACTACGAATTCACTCTGGGCCAGGTTCAGCTCCAAAATAGAAACTTTACGGAGTTTTGGATTAGGTCACCTGGAAACACTGTTTTCGTCTAGTGTTCAGGTCCCCTCTTTTCAAAGGCATCCTTTGGAAAAAAACTTACATCTCATTTTTTTGTCCCTCTTACTGCTTTGAAGGTGAAAATCATGACAGGTGCCCTTCCTTACAACCAGCTGATGAATTGCAACTGAAAGTAAACAGCAGTTCACTTTCATAGCCAATACTTTGTTTTGCACTTAAATGTATCTTTTTGCCTAGCAAATGGAGGGGCAACGATAAGGACGTGAGGCCCAGATTAGATACAACCCCTATAAACTGGTTCCTACCTCACACTTCAAGTGATATGTATATAATAGAATACCTTTAAAACAAGAAAGGCAGCCTTTATTTCAGATTTTCTCATGAGAAGCCAAACAGCCAAGAGGTGTGTGGGAGAATGTCTACCTTACTCAGGGAGTCCTGAGCCAGCCAGATGCACTTTTCACAGATTTTTTTAGCACACTGACTGGCCTGGGTTTGTCTTATACTCCATGTCAGTGTTTTATTTATGAAAACTCTGTTTTCTGCCCTAGAATAAAATTAATATTGTATGATTAAAGAAAAGATTTTTAAAAGCCTTTTATTATCGTCAATGTTAAGATTTAGCAAGGATTTAAATGATATAAAGGTAATATGTTTCATTAAATGTATTTTAAAACAATTGTTCCTTTTTTGTCTTTTCTTTTTTCTTAGTAATAATCAAACTAAAAACTCTGTGTGATGCAAAATAGAATAATCTTTCTTATTTTGATATTAGATTATTCTAAAACTGCAGCACTCTGTTCATTCCACATCCTAGGAACTCTTTCGCTTTAACAGTGGTTGGAGCTTTACAGGTATTTCAAGAAAGACAAGGTGGGACATCTGCTTTTCTGAAATACCCAGAGGTGAATTTCAGTTAAGCTAGTGCTATGGAAATTTGAGAATGGATCTGCAGCTTCATTCAAGAATCCACCACCTTGCTTCTGGCCTTGGAAAAACTTATCCTTGTAACACAGCATTCCTGGAAATTTGCTGTAGGGAGGTCTCTGCAGCTGACGTAGCAATTCACCTGAGATTTACCAGGCAGATTTAAAGCATCAAGAAATGTGTTCCAAAGTTCTGGTTATTCAAATGGGGTTGTTTGAGGCTTGCCCAACGCTAATTTTCAGCCTGGAGCACAAATAGGAAAGAAATGAGAGGCTGACTGCACCAGGCCTAACCGTAGGAGGCCTGGTTGAATGACATCAATCTGTCACCGGGATTCCTTATGTAAGTAAATCCTGTAGAAACTCTAACGCCGTATCTGCTGTTCCTCTTAACAAACTAGAAGACCTGAGAGCCAAAAGTTATTATTTAACCCAGTGAATACTTATCTGGCAACTTGCAGCTTGCGTTGGAGTTGCGTGTGCATGGAAAAGCTGGCTCTGGCTTTTGGAAATGCATTTGTGCCCGTATCAGCAGGGAGTCAGCTTGGGTAATTGGGCTCCTTGTTTATCTGGATTGGGAGTTTAACAGCATTGTTAACATGGTTTCTAGGAAGATGTCACTTGCTGGAGCAGCCTTAAGTGACAAGATTCTTTGGACCACCCCACAGGGAAGCTGGAGTCCTTTCAAATATGCCAGTAAAGCACTCCTCCACTGCAAGTTGTGCCAAAAAGAGGAGACAAAGCCTTGCCAGTCAGCACCTCGCTCCTGCAAGAGTTGATGGCAAGACATAGCCCAAGGCAGGATGTTTGGAAACCCACTGAAGTATGTTGATGTGGACTTATGGTCATTTCTCCACTGACCTGTGTGATAAAATGAGTTATGTTTGCCTTAATACTTTCAAATAACACTATTTTTTAGGATAAATCTACAGAGTTTTATCTTCCAATTTGCCTATTAGCTAAATAAATAAAAATAAATTTTAATATACTTTAATAACTTAAAATTTGTTTGTTAAATAAACCAGCACACCCCCCACCCTCAAATCCCCACTTTGGAGTCCCCATGAAGAATAGGAAATCATGCCTGGAAATTAGGAAATTTAAAAACTAAGGGGGGAAAAAAAAAAAAAGGAAAAAAAAAAAAGAAAAAAAGAAAAAGAAAAAAAAAGGCAAGTGTCTGGGATTTTCCAAGCAGATGGAAAGGAGAGTTACAGCTATATCAGCTTCATCTCCTTTTGAGAATACTGTCTCTAAAGATGTATTCAATACCTGCATGCAGAATGAATCTACAGTAGTGCACACAAATGGGGGTCATAGAAATTTGGGGCATGAACAGGCTTGGGCCCAGAGGTGGTGGTGTTCTGACCACAGCCACATGCCAATCATTGCTTCAGCAAGTCAGTGAACTGACCGCCTTGCTTTGTACCTCTTGCCAATCTCAAAAGCTATAGCTGACTTTTCAAATATGGAGTTGGGATTTCCTTTAGGATTGATTTATTTAACCAAATGTACTAAGATTTTACAGTTACATGTATTTTTAAGAGGGAAGGCGATGGGGAAAAAGAAAAGTCAGATGGCTCCAGATGTTTCAAATTTTGCAGTCTTGGAAAATAAGAGAAGAACATGTATATTTTTTGATTTGGTACCATCAACCCATGAGTTTTCTGAGTACACCTACTAGCTGATGCATATGGGAAGCAGTTTCTTTGTTTTCTGGGATAAACAGAGTCTGTCCATTTTTATTTGGCAATTTATCTTAGAATGCCCATGTTTCACTGATGGTTAATCTTTGCTTAATTACTACTAAACTATTAGGTGATAATTAACTGAATGTTGCTGTTTTTCCCTTTAGGCAAAAGGCTTGTCAGTATTCACTGTTACTATGCAAAATCTGTTTCATGTGAGATGGCTGCATATCAAAGTGACTGGTGTTTTAAAAAAATCCAACAACCAGGACAGAAAGGTAGCAGATTTTTATTTTATTTTATTTTTAATGACACATTTGATTGGTAAGTTCTTAAAAATAAGAATTGATCGTTTAACCCTAAAAGAAAAAGTTTAAACAGGTTCATTTTTAAGGAAAAAACACAAAATCAAAGGTAAAAATTGCTTGACAAAACTAAAAATTAGCAAAGTGACAAAACTGAAGCTGACATTTTTTGCCATCTTTAAATTCTTCTTCACTTTT